AGTTGGTTAATGAAAGGCTCGTCAAGAAGTTGCAGTTGGAGTGTTTTGAAGCAGTGCTTTTTCCGAAAGCATGAGTTGATTCATTTGACAATAACCTGCCAGTCCGAATTTTGTTCCCTTTGATCATGGGCAAAGTATATTTCATAATCAATTTTTTTACCGTTTCTAATCTAGTTTTTATCAGAAAGAAAATAATATATTGCTGAACAAGAATAACTGGCTTCCTTCTGAAACTAATTCATGATATTTGACTAACCTCAAGACCGTCGTATGTGAATTAACATTTCTTATGATATCTCTCATTACATTATCATTACTTGACCCATAATCTATATCAGATAAGCCGTTTTTTATGATTTTCAGTTGGCCGACGATTATCATTATATATTGACAAGTAAAAATGTCGATTGTTGAGTTTGTCAACGCACTCAAACTCAGGGAAACCATATGGAACGTAAAAGCTGAAATATAATGGCTCGTCTTACGAACATCCCATGGGTTCCAAACAGTTAGGGGTAAAGCACCGTCCTCAATATTCGAAAGCGGATGGAACATGTCAGAAGTGATAGCAGTAAAACAAATCATTCGATAAATTCTACCAAACCATTCGGCGATTCTCACAGAGTTCTTCATAATTTTTAAATTTTCCTCGGAAAACTGTCGAAACTCGGGTTTCGAAATGATGTCCTCCAACTCTAAAATGTTTTTCTTTTTGATAATCAAATTGAAAACTTTGCAAAGACAAGCCGTTTGTGTTCCAGCGATGAGGAGAGTTTCAGCAACTGCCGATACATTTTTATACTCGATAAAAATACCAATTATCATCATCATGTAAATTGAGATGGAAATTGAAAGAGTTATAACTGCTGTTAAGTTACTTAAACTTCCTCTGCATGTCTCGTTGTTGGGAAAGCATCCCAAGTAAAGAAGAATTTTCCTCTCGAATTCGAAGACATGAGGTAACTTGTAATCCTGAAAATGAACATGGAATCCCAATAAAAAATAACATTTGAAATTATAGTATTACTTTTTCAGAAGACAATTTCATATCACTACTAGATTCCATATCACTACTTGCTTTCGGAATGTAGCCTCGGTAATGTTTTGAAACATTTCTGGTTTTCCAAGAAGTTATTTTTCAATTGGACAATTATTTCAATTAAAAGTATTACAGAAATAAATAGGTTATAATTTTCCAACAACTAGTTATTCCAACTACATTTAATATATCGGTCATAATGGAAACTTTAATGAATTTGAAATTGCTATAATTTGAATATACAGAGTAGAACGTCGAAGATGTACCAAAGCAAGTGAAGTTTTTTTCTAAGGGCGACAGACAACCCTGAAATCATTGCAAAAATATTATCAGTAGGGGTGTCATCCCCAATTGTGGAGTGATAACTTATTGAAAATGGCTTTCGTTTCCCTGTCTACTCCTGTTCTGCTTTTCAAAATCGGTACACCACTTCAAATGATATGGAATGAATGAATGCATCCAAAACTCACAATAGGTAATCTCAAGAAATGTTCAAATATTCACCATTTACTTGCTGACAATAAAGAAGTTGGTTTATAAATTAATGGATAGGTACACGTGGTCCTTCAAAATTGCCTGCTTGGCGCCTCTAGATCTTTTAAGAATATAGGTGATAGAACTCGAGGAAATATCTATAAATTTGTAAACTCTCACCATTTTCAGGAAATGAAAGATAAACATTTGGGTTATTCACTAGAATGAACTGGATTGAGTGTTTTCCGAAATTGTGATACTTTTATATATGTATCTGTAGAGTAGGAAGGGTGACTGTAAGCTCACAGCACTTAGGCCACATGTGACCCATTGTACATCCTCCTAGGTCAACGTCCATCCTGTCCTTTCCAGGAAGGTGGACAGGTCACTGTGAGACATCTCCTTTATATTGGCAGGTGTAGGCCAAGACTCGCCGAACACACACCCTCTTATTGACGATAATTCCGGGCACTCGCATAAGGACATGCCTGACAGTCCCATCGTCCTGTTCACACATCCTGCATAGAGGTGTGTCCACTAGCCCCATATTATGGAGGTGTTTCCTTAGTTAACAGTGGCCAGTCAGAAATCCTACTGTTAAGTGTAGATTTTTCCTAGTCATCGTCAGATATTTCTTCGAGCCAGCTTCCAAGGGTCGTCCAGGGTTATCCTGACACGATTGCATCCTTTGATTCCATCCCATCTCTTTAGGGATTGAGCATAGGTGTAACATTTGGCTAGTTTCGCAATTGTCGAAGTCATCAGGCCGTAGGTGCCACTGGGTCCTAAAATTCCTAATCCAACCGCTTCCTTGGCTAAAGAGTCGGCAATGCGATTGCGTTTACTCCTGTCGTGCCCTTTAACCCACTTCAGGATAATGTTATTATCTACCGAGGCTTTGGCTATATCTTGGTGGCACTCTAGTACTATACCTGAGGTAACACGTCTGTTCAAGGCTACTATAGCTTGTCTGTTATCAGTGCAGATTGTTATGTTTTTGCCAGAAATTCATTTCCTGTTTGTTTCTTTTGTGGCGATTGAGATACCAGCCAGTTCTATTTGGACCACGCTGGTATTTTTCCCATTCCACTTTTAATCCTTGGGCTTAGTGACCTGAAGTACACTCCACATCCTGAGCCTTTTCTGGTTTTGAGCCGTCTGTATATATGCGTATATTGCATTTCTAGCATCTTACTCTGTATTCTGTTTTATTTGTATTTTGTAGGGTTTATTAAACACAAATCTGGATTAAATTGCATCACTGGTTGCCCTGCAGCAGAGCTTGCGCAGGAAGCAATTCTCGCCATAGGCTCAGCTTCAATTACCCATTCCTACTTCGAGGTTTACACCAGCCGTACGCAATCGTAACATGGTCATTAACGCAAGCTCCTTAACGTACAGGTCCAGAGGGTTCAGACCCGTAATTAATTCCATTGCCGCGGTTGGTGTTGTTCTCATGGCTACTGTGATGTTTAAACAAGCCAGTTGCTGTATTTGATATAATTTTTAATGGCCGTTGCTTGTAGAACTTTCGGTCCCCAAGCAATGGCTCCGTACGTTAAAGTAGGTCTTATTATTGCAGTTTAGATCGAGATGACCACACGGGGTGAAAGACCCCATGCGCGTCTCACTGTCCTCCGACATTGCTCATAACCCACATATGCTCATTTTGCTCTACACTGTAGGTGAGGGTTCCATGTTAGCTTTCTGTAAAGGGTAGTACCAAGGTATTTCACCTCTCCAGAGAAGTTCAATTTGCTTTTGAAGTTTTCGAGAGGTTTTGAGCCCGATAAACTTCTTTTCCTGGCGAAAGGACCTGGGATTGACTTGGGATTGATCGACAGTGAGTGTTCCTTACACCATGTTTCTATTAATTTGAGCCCATCCTGCGCTCTATCGCCCAGTGTGTTCACAAATTTGCCGGTCTGCAAGATAACCATGTCATCTGCATATGCATTTGTGTAGAATCCATTATTGTCAAGGTGAATAATCAAGGTATCCACTCCAGAGAAGGGGTGATAAGATTTCTTCCTGAGGACATCCCCAATGACCTCGATATCTATGAATATACCCAGGGTGTATTCTTTGTTGTCCAATGATCTCTCGATTCTGCCAACCACATGGTGAAGGGCCGAATCATTAGGTGTTATCCATCCTACCTGGTTTGGGTATGAATACTACTCGTACTTCTCTCCACTTACTGGGAATATACCTTAGAGATAGAGAGGCTCTGAATATTCCAATCAGGTGCGGCATAAGAATATCCAGTCCCCACTGAAGTATGGCTGGTCTTATACCGTCAAATCCTGGTGACTTGAAGGGGGAAAATCCCGATATAGCCCATCTTATCTTGTCCTCGTCAATTATTGCACTAGCAGATTGCCAGTCGTATTGTGTTGGTACTTCCGTCCAGTTAGTCTTTCCAGGAAAGACAGAACCTGGAAAGTGAGTTTCCATAAGAATCTCGGCACTCTCTTGGAGGTTGGCGGCTTTGTCGCCATTTTCCCTCGTCAGAATGCCGATACTCTTATGGTGGTTATTTGAGAGTGCCTTCTGTAGCCTAGAACCTAGTGGAAGTCTTCGACTGCCTCACAGTAGGCTCTCCATGCTTCTCTTTGTTTTCGTCTGCAGACTTTTTTGAACTCTCTGTGATACTTATCTTTCATTTCTAGGTTCATTGAAATAATATATAACTGGTAGCCAAAAATACACCAACAATCTTATCAATCGAGTTATCACAAGATCCTCTTTTCTATTCGAAAATAATGATACGTTTTCCCCGTGAGAGCGACAATAATTGATTACACGGTACAATTAAACTTTATTTCACTGCTACACTGACAATACAAACACTTCAACTGAAAATTCGATCGTCTCATTAGAACTTTCGTACCGCACTTTGTACTAAACTCCTCGATTTACGTGTTGGTGGTGTTTATATATCGAGGAAAGTCGCTCGAGTTATCTCGAAGTGACGCGATATTTAAAACGATCGCGAAGCGCAAGTCGAGTTGAACGCGACCTTGACCAAGTCCACAATCGATTGACGACGGCCAGCGGCGGCCGGCGTTATTTTTTCAGGGGATGATTCACAAAAATAAGTTGGTGGCACCCTCTTGGCGACAATGCCTTTTACGTAAATTTTGTCCAACCTTGATATCTCGTTCCGTTAAAAAATTAAGAGGGGCCACCTGAAGTGCATCTTAGCTATTCTCAGTTCCCGCCAGCCATATGTAATGCAAAAGAATCGACCCAAATTCAACTAGAAAGAATATTTTACTTATGGGTATATTACTTTTTCACACACTATTAAAACTTTTATCGATAAAGTATCTCACATGTTTTCTTTTACAAAATATGAAACTCTTCAAAAAATGTTTTCGTCACGAAGTTAACTATACATCTCAATAACTCATTGCTGTATCACGTAATATATTATCTCTACCTATATTTTTTCTAATATTGACTATATAATAAAACAATTACCAACTTGGTAGAAAGATTTATTTTGAAGATTAAATAAATAAGATACGATATATGCAGAATTAAAAATGGGTAGAACAAAAATTATAACAACTATGAATTATAAAAATAACATTCACCCCAGGACACTGTTGATGTATATGACTAGTAAAACATAAAAGGAAGACGGTAGAAATATACCAAAATACCAATGTACTCTTTCGAAAATATGGACCGGCCATCCGCCTTTTAAAACGTTTGTTCTCCATCAAAACATTCATCTACTGCAGAGTCTGTTCCAACTTCCTCATAATCTTTTTCTAATGCCGCCAGATCTTCCCTGGCTTCCGAGAATTCTCCCTCTTCCATGCCTTCACCAACGTACCTGTGACAAATAATCATTTATTAATTCAGTACACCATTCAACAGCTAAATTCGATTACATAACTGGTATGAGTATACTCTATTTCATTTCAGTAGAGCACAATAGCAAAACAAACAAAACAAACAATATGACCAATACAAATGAGAGTAGAAAACAAATTCCACCTTTTAGTTATAGAATGAACATGATTACAACATGAACTTCCACATAAAACTAACAGAAAATAAAGAACAAAAATTAAATCTGCTAGAATCTCTGGAAATCAATAAACTCAAAATTGTTTTAAACGATCAACAGGAAGTTATTCATTCATCATTATTGAACTTGTTCTCATCAAATATTCATATATTAACTGTTTTTCTAAAATATTAAATGTTTATCAATTTGTGTTAACGAAATCTACCCGTTTTGCTAGAATTAATCATTTATCTAATTGAGTTCCAACATGAATTACCAATATTGTACCTGTTTTTAAAAAAATATTGTATTGCATTCAAAATCTGCTTGTTTTACCTGTTTTTCTAAAATATTAAATGTTTATTAATTTGTATTAACGAAATCCACCCATTTTGCTAGAATTAATCATTTATCTAATTGAGTTTCAACATGAATTACCAATATTGTACCTGTTTTCAAAAAAATATTGTATTGCATTCAAAATCTGCTTGTTTTACCAGATTCAATCATTCAACTTATTTCATTATTACCTACTGTTATAGACCTACCATTTCTTCCATTGATGCTACAAACAGCAAAAATTCCCAAATGATTACTAAAATTCTTACTGATGCTTATAATTTTGAAAATGATTTTATAAGGATTCTTTCGATTTTTATAAATGAAAAATCATCATCACCACCAATATACCTTCCTATAAATTTAGTAGAGAAAAGTATAATCAAAAGATAGAATGATAAAATTAATAAACAAAACAAATTATTGAAATACAATTGACTCGCGATAGTCCGATACTTTACAGTCCGACACGCTCGGTAGTTCGACGCTGCGCCGTCATCGGTCTAGTCTAGTTGGTCTAACCTCAACCTGTAAAACCGATTCATGTTGTGTTATGATTTTAATATTAAAGAAATTTCTCTTCTTTTGTAAAAACTAAAGCCTGACCTCATTACATATTTTGAATCTTTTCTAGTCAAATATTACATAAAAATTCATCGTTAACTAGATTTCCTAATGTTTACACTGCAAATTCAATTAAACAGAGCCAATCTTTGGTAATCCGACATTTTTGTTAACAAGACGATCCCGTAGTGTCGGACATCTTCAACTCAAATTCTACGTAATGGACCATCTTTTTGAAGATACACTTCCTAAGTAGACTTTTGAAATTCCTTTTCTCAAAGAAATATGATAACGATGTCATTTGTGCAATACCTTATGAAATCTTGATTTTGTTAATAGATATGATAGAAGATTACGATTTACTATCCCTTTCTTGATACAAGAGTTATCCATAGAACTGATAACTTCTTGATCACTGATTACTATATCAAACCTACCGTTAGGTTGTTTCAAAAGTTTTGTCTGTTTTAATATGGCTATAAGTCCGAATTTCCGGTGTTGCATATCAGAGTACCATGAATTAAATTTACGTTCTTTATAAAACATATGAAACAAATGACTTTTTCAAATGTGATGGATAAAATAACAGAATATGCATGAAGAAAAAATGTTCACACTTACAGAGTATTGCAATACAATCAATACTTGTTTTTTAAACTGTTTTTTTGGGTTTATAACCTTACACAATCTGAAAAAATAAAAGCTAAATCAAAAGGGAATCTGCTGAAGTGTAGTGAAAGTAGAGGGCAAACTGAGAATTTCATCCCGGAAAGTTACTCCTTAATCTAAACTACTGAAAAGTTCAATTAGTCAGTAACTCGTATTCAACAGATTCTCTATCGATTCAGCTTAAATTCTTTCAGATTGTGGCAGGTGATAAACCCAAAAAACGATATAAAATATTGAGTCCTCCACAAAAAATATATTTTAAAGAATATTTAAAAAACTTGTATTGTTCTATAATTTTCACCCATCGTTCTCTCACTATTTTTGAAGATTTCACCGTCATCAGATATTCTTGAATAGAGTCATTACTCAGATGAAGTGTTTAATAGGTGAAACCACCATTTTGTGACATTCTAAAGAAAGTCAGTAAGATACTCACCAGTGAACGAAAGCTCTCTTTCCATACATGAGATCAAATTTGTAGTTCAGTCTTGCCCAAGCTTCAGATATCGCTGTGGTATTTGACAACATGCATACAGCTCTTGAAACCTTTGAATAATGAAACAAATCAATAGACCTGATATCTGGTTGCCGACTATCCCGGATTTTATTATTCTCGTCAATAGAATTCCCAATGATTTATACCTCCATCAGTAATCTATTCCAAATTATGAATATTAGGTGGGCTGAAAATTTCGCAGACTAACACACAGATGACGTTACGAGTATTGAATCCATATGATTTTTAGTTAACCCTAACCTTCAAAAGACACGTGTACAAACTCCACAGCTGTCGGACTATTAGTTTGTGGAATAGAACATTTTGAGTGAAGCAACTTTTGTTAGTTTGAAGAAAATGTAGTGCTTGTGTTTGTGCTTTGAAAAACAATTACAAAATTAAAAGGAATTTTGTGTGTTAATTGAGTATTGCTTTTGTCGGAAAAAATACTGTTGAAGCCAAGGCTTGGCTTGATAAACATTATTGGGACTTTGAACCAGGAAAATCAACCATTGAGAAGTGGTTTGCTAAGTTTAAACGGGATGAAATGAGCACCGCGGACATTGCACGCAGAGGACGCCCCAAAGGGCCGTTATCGACAAAAACATAAAGAAGTCCACAAAAGAATTTTGAATGACCGCAAAGTGAAGCTGATAGAGATAGCGGAGGCTCTAAAGATATCAAAGGAATGCGTTCGACATATCGTGCATGAATATTTAAGTATGCTAAAGCTCTGTTCAAAGTGGGTGCTGCGCGAGCTAACAATCGATCGAAAACAACAACGAATTGATGATTCTGAGAAGTGTTTGAAGCTGTTCCAGCATAAAAAAAAACGTAGATTTGTGACAATGGATGAAACATGACTCAATCATTTCATACCAGACTGCACGTGGTGAACCGACTCCAAAGCGTGCAAAGAAGCAACAGTCGACTGGTAAGGTTATGGCATCAGTAATTTGGGATGCACATGGCGCATGGCCACTGGAATGTGCATGGCGACTATCTTAAAAACTAATGAAAACCCATCAACAGCGACTATTACATAACGTTGTTGAAGCGTTTGAAGAAAGGAATCGCGGGAAAATGGCCCCATTAAAAAAAAAGAAAGTACTATTTCATAAAGGCAATGCACCGTGTCACAAATCAATGAAAACGATGACAAAATTGCATGAATTGGGCTTTCAATTGCTTTTGCATCCACCGTATCCTCCAGATCTAGCGCGAGCTAACAATCGATCGAAAACAACAACGAATTGATGATTCTGAGAAGTGTTTGAAGCTGTTCCAACATAAAAAACGTAGATTTGTGACAATGGATGAAACATGACTCAATCATTTCATACAAGAATCAAAACGATCGTCACCTGAGTGGACTGCACGTGGTGAACCGACTCCAAAGCGTGCAAAGAAGCAACAGTCGACTGGTAAGGTTATGGTATCAGTAATTTGGGATGCACATGGCGCATGGCGACTGGAATGTGCATGGCGACTATCTTAACTAATGAAAACCCATCAACAGCGACTATTACATAGCGTTGTTGAAGCGTTTGAAGAACGGAATCGCGAGAAAATGGCCCCATTATAAAAAAAAAGAAAGTACTATTTCATAAAGGCAATGCACCGTGTCACAAATCAATGAAAACGATGACAAAATTGCATGAATTGGGCTTTCAATTGCTTTTGCATCCACCGTATCCTCCAGATCTAGTGTTCTAAATCTCAAAAGAAAGATCTCGCTGGAAAGATATTGAACGCCAATGAAGAGGTAATCGTCGAAACTAAGGCCTATTTTGAGGCTGAAGATAAATCGTACTATAAAAAGGTTATCGAAAAATTGTATGAATGCTAAATTCATTGTAAAGCCCCCGAAGACAACTATATTGAATAATATTTTTTCTCTGTGAGCCTACGAATTTTTCAGCCCAACTGTTCAACGATAAGCTTTTCAATAACAATCTGAGTTATATTCATCAAAACTGTGGTCAATTATGAAACCTGAATATTCAAGTCATATCGTTTGCTATCTGTAACAGAAGTTCTATCGAAACAAAATACAACCTTTGAGGGCAGTAGAAAAGTCAATTTTCTGCTGATTACCGTAATTTCGATGTTACAAATTCATCTCAACTCAACTCTGAGAATTTCAATTTCGAACAAAATTCTATATTGGGCTGTTACCTTTGCTAAGTCACCATTCGGCACAACTGTTGGCGGTTGATAGTTTATTCCAACCTTGAATCCGGTTGGACACCAATCAACGAAGTGGATATTCCTTCGGCTTTTGATGATAGAAATAGCCGCATTAACATCTTTCGGCACAATATCTCCTCGGTATAACATGCAACATGCCATATACTTTCCATTACGGGGATCGCATTTGACCATCTGAAATAAGAGATATATTCAATCAGATACATGTAGTGTCTATAAAAATATGTTGAGGTATACGAGACCAGTGCGTTTCAGTTGAAACTAAAACCCAACGACCAAGCATTCGTGATCCAACACCAGATACCGCTGTTTGGACCCGCTATTTGTCTCATTAGTGGACAAGTCTTATTAAGAAGTAGTGACGACGTCTGCCCTCACGAAGACGCCATCTATAGGATCCGCCAACACTTTCTGAATTGATTTTTTATGTTCTCATCTCCTATGGAACCCATCACCACCGTCTTGATTTATTTACGTGCAATGTTAGGAATCGCACGTTAAAAAGTAAGACCTCGTTAGTCCTTAGCTCTCAAAACTTTCGACTTTTGAGAGTTGTCTTTCGTTAACAGAAAAACATATTTTTAACAGTTTTAACATTTTAATACAGTTCATTTATGATTTTCACTATAAAGGGATTCGTGTTTCGCCATACAATAGCTTTCTCAAGAATAAAATGATCGTTTATCATATATCTAGTATATGACTAGGTGCTGCCCACGGCTTCGCCCGCGTAGAAACTGGTATGTCACATAAGTTTCGTGACATATCATTTCATTACAATATTTTTTCATCAACCCAAAACTCAGGTTTCCAACTTCAAAACTGACAAAATTCAGTACAATCTTTAAACCTCTATTTTCCCCCTTGGGGTGGAAATTCCTGATTCCCTTTTGTTGCTTATTTACGCTATACAAAGAACCTACCTGCATATTCCAAGATTCTAGATTCAGTCAATCAATAGGTACCCACTTATACAATAATGAATAGCATCAGCAAAAAAAAAACTGAAAGGATTAGAATGAAATACATTGGTAATCCCACTAATCTTACTCCTACTAATATTATAAATACGTAAAGTTTCTGAGGATGGATGAATGTAATGTATGTATTAACGTTTACAATAGGTACCCACTTATACAATAATGAATAGCATCAGCAAAAAAAAAACTGAAAGGATTAGAATGGAATACATTGGTAATCCCACTAATCTTACTCCTACTAATATTATAAATACGTAAAGTTTCTGAGGATGGATGAATGTAATGTATGTATTAACGTTTTTTACTTTTTCACACCTAAGCAGCTCAACAGTTTAAAATGTAAATTGGTCATGACCTGGAATACCGCATAGGGTAGGTTCCCACAGTAACGCGAGTTAAACAGCAGGGAACCGCTAGTATTGTATAAGTGGGTACTCACGCGTCTGCCCGCGTTCGTCACATAAGAGGTAGATAATATGCTATGGCGGACTTTTATTTAGAACTATTTGAAATAAACAATCCTACGGTACATTATCTGCGTGTAACTCCAACGGTATAGGCAGCACACGCCGAGATAGTTCTCAGGGAGCAAGTATTTTTCCAACTTACTTAATACTTTTCGTTATATTATGACCAGAATTACACAAAACCTTTGTAAATTGTAGTCTATATGTTATTCTGATGTATAATCTGTATTTATGTTAAGTTTCATCTAAATCCGTTCAGTCGTTTAGGCGTGAAAGAGCCACAAACATAAATACATTCATCCTCACAAACATTCACATTTATAATATTACTATAGAAGTATAGATATTGAGTATTCTTTTCTTCTTAGAGAATGTAAATGAAAGCTCTTATGGAACATTGGAACTGGATCAAATTGCAACTCAAGCTGAATACATTCTGAATACAGTATATGAAATAACTTCATAACGAAATTTCCGGATTGAGGTTACCCAACAAACCGCACAATTATTTAAAAAATGCATAGCAATATGCTTCCATTGATACAATTCGAGGTAACTGACAGGTGAAGAGGTAAAGAATCACGAGTTATGATAAGTGTAGGCAGGTAACATATCTATTGTTTTCTTCACGGACAACAAAATTTTTAAAATAAAAGGACGAAAAATCTCGTTTTCATTTGATATATTTCGAATACTAATGATTCATTTTGAATTCAACTGCAAATAATGTTGCAAATTCAAAAATTCAATTTTAACCGTATTCGATCAAATTGTCATTTATAAGAAAAAATATCTCTGGATGAATGCTTCTTAGTTTTAGAAATGAATGAGTTCGACCTCTGTGAATTCGGAGGGTACTTCGTGAAAAAGTTATCTCTAAAACAAGTTTTCCTGGGTTTGTTTCAACTAAAATTTTATAACAATAATCAAAGCCTCTCGCATGAAAATATGTTACCTTCATTAAAGAAAATCCGACTATACTCACTTGGTTTGCTGGTTCAAAGCAAGCATTTGTGATATCAGCGACTGATACCTGTTCGTGATAGGCCTTCTCGGCAGATATAATGGGAGCATAAGTAACAAGAGGAAAGTGAATCCTTGGATAGGGTACCAAATTTGTTTGGAACTCCGTTAAATCAACATTCATGGAACCATCAAATCTGAAACAGTAGATCGATCAGAGAATGTTCTCAGATAAATATATTTCATCAAGGCAGAACTTCACCCTCTGCATAGAATGCATCCAATGAAAACGTTTCTTCCACACGCTAGTACTGTAGCACTTTTTTGGCGCACGTTCCAGCAACGGAATAAACATAATCAGAAGATAAACTAACTATACTATGTGTAAATTTGAAAGCGTACCACTCTCTTTATTTCGACTCCTACAGAAAATCTAATAATATGTCAAAAACACGTGAAACGTGTTTTCAAGGAGGACATCAACCCTTTAGCAGGAACCGATACAATCACTGAAATCTAAAATGAAAAGGGGAGTTGAGTGATACTTCATTTCGAAGGTCGTTCAGATACATTTTAAAAAATACCACATACTTGACCTTTCCTGTTAGCAGTCTGTGAAAAAGCCATTGGAAACTGTACCTAAACAACATCAGGTATCAGAAATACTTCGTGATATTATTTCAAAATGAATTGGAATTGAAGAAACTGAAGTATTTTGACATAGCGGTGAGTGTTTAAAGTATTTTTACTTCTAATATCCAACTAAATAATAAAATAAGTAAATAATAATATTAAAACGAATGTAATTTAATCAAAATATGTACTTGCATGGTATTCAGATATGACAAATTAGTTGAAGAGTTGTCAAAGAATAAATGTCAATTACTAAGTTGATCGTTCTTTATATTTTTCCATATTTCACAAGTTGAATACAAACCGTAAAGAAAAGGGTCCAACTAAAGCATTGTTGAATTTTTAGTCGAATTATTCTTCATTTATCACTCCTGAGACCATTTCTAGTTGACAAAATTACGTTATTGTGAAAACCTGAAATTATTCTTATTGTTGTAAATCATGCCCTGAAAAAAGTAACGCCGGCCGCCGCTAGTAGGTATAATTCAATTGTGACCAGACCAAGATAACGCATAACTCGACGTGCGTTAGCGGCCGTTCCAGACGTGGTGTTGCTTCGAGAATAGTACTTCCGATGTTTCGCTACTGTTCGATGTTCTCGCCGCTTCGATAGAATTCCGAAGAATTTTCTACGACCTTCGATTGTCAAATATAAACACGATCCACTCGCCTATCGGAATAGTGAAATGAAAGTAACAGACATTCGAATAATAGTTGAAGTTGTAGTCAAAGTGTTTTGTTGTATTAAAAGTAAAATAGAGTTGAATTTGATTATTATTCAGTGTAGTCAATTATTGGTAAAACCACGGGAGAAAACGTAACATAATTCAGGGGGACTGACGAAGATGCGCAAAAAGAACAACAACAATATTGAATGAAATAAATCCCAACAGTAACTTAAATTATAAATATGTCCTGAAATTAGTTACTGAGTTTATCAAAAAAGAAATATTCGCCATGTTTTGTATGAAGCACCGCAAATGAAGTTTCAGGCACATTTACGGCAGAACCCTCCACATCGCTCATCATTGTTGCACGCCAAGTAGGAATATCTCTTGAAACAGTAAGGAAAGCGCTGAAGTTAAACACGTTTATGACGACGATGTCGACAGAAGAATTGAATTTTGTGAAACAATGACGGAAGAAGATGAAACAAAACCAAAATATTTTGCACAATATTTGCTTAACTGACCAGTGTACGTTTTTTTAATGTACACGTTAACAAAATCATATTGTCGTTACTGGAGCGACGAGAAACTGGATTTAGGAAATATAATACACAGTATCCAAAAGTAAACGTTTGAGAATTCTATTATTGAAGCTTCATTGTGAAAAATCTAACTGGTAAGCTCTACTCAAATCTGCTTGAAGAAACCATCGACTCTCACATGATTTTGCAAGGTGATCTAATTTACTTTCAGAAAGATGAAAGTCTCCACCAAACTTTCTTCCAGTTAGACAGTGGTTAAATTATCATTTCCTGACAGATTTATTGGTCGAAGAGAAGCAATCGAACCCAACGTATCGCCTGTAGATCTCTTCCTACGATTGTTTAGTAAAACAAAGCCTCAAGATTTGAAAGATTTGAAGTGAGAAATAAAAGCTGCGTGTAGAAAACTTCATACAGAAGTTTTTCGGGTTGTTTTGCGAGTAGACTTTACCACCCATCAGGGAACAATGGAAAATACTTCGAAGATGTAATGCGATAAATTTCTTTTTAATTTTTCATGTTTTATTGCAAAACACTTGATATGCAAGTATTTTCACGTTTTTTTGAAAAGGTAGCTCAATGAAATTTATAATCAGATATCACTTAACCCCCTTTTCATTTTAGATTTTGGGGGTGTGTTCGCTCTTACTAGAGAATTGATATAATTCAGATGAAAACTAGCCTACAAAATATCTCCCTTGGACGTTTTTTCGCATATTTTCAGATGTTCTATGGAAGTGAATGGAAATAGTGTTACGCAGTTTTGATCGTCGTAGAAAGCCTTATCATGTCGGCTCTGCCGTAATGGACCTTCTTTCTCCAGCTACTCGAGTGGCTCCTTATGAACCATGAAATCGCGAGCTTGAGACGCAAAAGATATGCAAGTCCCTAAATGTCTTCTTCGTTAAAAACGATCTAGAGAAACAGCTAATCAAGTCTTCCGCTTTCGAGCTGAGTTTACAGAGGAAATAGAGGTTGGTCAAACGACTCCAACAGTCCTCCCCAAAACATCGAACGAAAAGCAAGAGCTCCTAGGTTGCGTACCCCTTCAACAAACCTAGGAGGATAGGTTTTGTATGCTGGAAGAAACTTATCGCCTCCCCAAGGGCGCGATCTTTTATGAATCTGCCTTGCACTACATTTTTGAGCAGCAGAAGCATAATCTGTTTCAGGAAAGAAAATAATCTCCCCCTGACCAGGTATTGCAAATAAACTGAGTCAAAAGAGGAGGAAGACGTCATCCAAACGACTTCAACAAGATAAAAAAGTTACAAAGTGACATAGAATCGAGAGAAAGAGCTTCTCAGTTCTCCAGCTTTTGAGCTGAGTTTTCAGAGAAGACGGAGATTCGTCAAACAACCGCACCAGTCCTCCCTGTAACTTCGAATCGAGAGCAGAAGCTTCTCATTTCTCGAATTCTTGAAAAAATACAGGAAGTTATAGCCTTCTCAAAAGCAGGATATTTTATGAATCTATAACCCTGAAGAGGCATATGTCTATGGCAGGGCCCCTCTCAAAACACACTACCACAACCATAATGTAATCTAACGAAAATTTGAATGAACATTTCTGAATTGAATTGAATTATGTATCTTCTTTGCACTACTTTCTCCAGAAGCAGAAGCAGAATCTGCATGAAGAAAGGAAGTAATCTCCCGAGCAGATCTTGCAAATAATCTGAGTCAACAGAGGAGATGGACGTGGACTATATGATTTCCACTATCCTCGCTGTAACAAAAAATCAAGAGACAGAGCTTCAGTTTTCCAGCTTTTGAGCTGAATTTATAGATGAGATGGAGATTGGTCAAACGAGCCCACCAGTCCTCCCCATAACATCGAATCAAGAGCAGAAGCTTCTCAATTGTCAAACTCTTGAACATACCTAGGAGGCTAGTTGATGCAACCAGAAAGCGACTTATCACCTCCTCAGAAACAGGTCATTTTGTAAATCTGCTATGCACTAGATTCTTGAAGAGCAAAAGCAGAATATGCATCAAGACAGGAAATTATCTCTCCCTGAGCAGGTCTTGCAACAAACCTGAGTCAATAGAGAAGGTGGACGTCGACTAAGCTGTCCTTTCGGTAAAAAAATCATCAAGAGAAAGAGCTTCTCCAGCTCTTGGACTGAGTGTACAGGGAAGCGGTAGGTTGCTCAAATGACCCCCATGTCTTCCTAGAAGGGTAGGTATAAATCTCCCCCGAAGCAGGTCCTGCAAATAACCTCAATCTACAGAAGTGATGGACATAGACCAAACGAACACAACTGCAACAAATTATCAAAATAAAGAGCTTCTTATATTTTTTCAGCCTTTGAGCTGAGTTTGTTGAGGAGATGGGAGTTGATCAGACGACCCCTACAATCTCTTCTATAACATCGGATCAAGAGCGGTACTTCACATTTTTTCAACTCTTGAACAACCCTAGGAGATTCTCACTAGATTGAAAGAAATGTACTATGACCTGAAACCTTGGACGAAATCATTCTTCACCAACATATTCAAGCCCTGTAGCAGAGCACGTATTTTATGCCTGTCCTGCCACGAACCCGATTTGATTTTTACCATTTGGCGGAGTCACACTGTTTCTAGCAGACGTGAAAGATCACCCACCACATAAAATAGTCGGCTTCGTTATGAAGCTGGGTTAATTCAATTCGAGTTTGAATATTTATGAGTCACAATAAATCCTTATGGGTTCACTTTAGACTCACCTTACCTACCTACATTCTAAAATTGAAATCAAGAATATGATGCAGTTGTAGATGATAGCAATGGAAGGAATTTTATAAAATGTATCATCACCTCAATTGAATATTGGAATACAATAATATAGAGATCATCAATCTATTAAGTATATACAGTGCTTTTCAGATAAAAGTTTCCACCTTTAATAACTTTTGTAATACTGGTATTTAGGAAAAATCCAAAAACACGTCAATTTATGTTGGAAGGGGCAAGCATTATGACTTATTTTAACTTACTGGAAAAGCCACCCCCTCACCCCTAGCATCATCCCTTTTTATTAGAAGACACTTACATGTGTTTGCAGTTTTCTGAATTACTTATTTTATTCTGAATGGAAGACTGATAATGAGGATAAAATTTTTATAAAGAACTCATAGATGAAATATTGAATGAAAATAAAAAATATATCATTCATTCTTTTCTTTTAGGCAGCAAATTCAATACTTTTTGAAAACATGTCAAATGAAGCAAACATAAACTCACCTCAAAGATGCCGTAGTTGAGGAAACAATTTGCGCGATGAGCCTATTAAGATTTTCGTAGCTGGGTCGTGAAATGTTCAGCTTGGTTTGACATAGGTCATAAATTGCCTCATTGTCAACCATGAAAGCGCAATCAGAATGATCTAAAGTTGCATGTGTGGTGAGAACGCCATTGTACGGTTCAACCACTGCCGTTGCTATCCTAGGGGCTGGGTATACAGCGAACTCCAATTTACTTTTCTTTCCGTAGTCCGCTACGAGCCTTTCCATCAAAAGTGAGGTGAAACCTAAAATGACACTCACTAGTGAATAATTCAGAATTGTTTCCGTGGAATTAATATTTGTGGTAATGCAGGGCGTTAGGTTTGTTTTGATTTTAGATCCTCACTTTGATTTAGTCTTTCCCAATTCAATTACGCTACAAAAATGACGATATTGAAGAAACTTTAATGATTGGTTTGCATGAACCTTCCAGCTGGAAAAATGAGAAATTACATTCGTAATCCTAGCGATCATTTCTGAATGTATTGCCAAGACAATCTTCTTTTTTATTTTTTCCGTTATTTTCAAAACCGCCCATTAACCGCTTGAAGGACAAACCGAGGCAAAGGTCCCAAATGATTCACAATAGCCTCAAATATTCACTACTTGAAATAATTATACAGGGCATTTCTTTAATGTCCCCCTTTTATTTTTTGAACGGGTCAACTCAAAAAAATGAAATTTGGGATAATGAAATTAATGCAGGAATACTTTATTTTGAAGTGAAATTGACAGATGGAACTTTCAAGATGTCGACTCTGCGCCATCTGGAAAAAAAAGTTAAACAGAAAGGGGGGGGGGGTTTGTGACACAGCATTTTGAATCTCCTGACGAATACTTCACAACCCTAGAATATGAAGTCAATATCTTCACGTACTACAAAATGGTTTGTTGAGTTATTTTTTGTTTGTGAAAACGACAAAAAATGTCAGTACGACATGAACATCATTGTTCAGTTAGAATATTCTCATTTAGTTTTCGGTTTTACTAGTAGAAAGGTAACATGTCAACAATTTCTAAAATGGTCAATTTTCGTCCATTGGAAGAAAAAATTCAAGCGATTTTTATTTACGGTGCGACGCGTAACTTTCACGAGACCGAAAGGATTTTCAATGAACGTATTCCGAATCGTCATATCTGTAGAAAATATTTGAGGGAACTTGTATCCAAATTCACTACCGGTAAGCACAGTTGTAATTGCTGCACAATTGGTCAACTGTATCCACTCCACCTTTGGTGCTGTTGTATAACATAATGATCTCTGGTTTTCCAGTTCTATCATCTATTGCCCACTCCACCTTTGGTGCTGTTGTATAACATAATGATCTCTGGTTTTCCAGTTCTATCATCTATTGCATCGTCGTGGTGAACACTTGACAGCAATAAAACATTCTTCTTCTTTTTTGGGATGTGGGATACTAAGGTGCACTCTTTTCTTAAAGCAAACATGCTTGTATTCGGTGGACGTGTTACAGGATTTGAAAAATTCACTGGTAACTCCCGTTTTATTTTTTCTTATTGTTCCAACAACGGTTATTTTCTTTTTCAATAACTGATTTACCAAATTAAGGCTAGTGAACCAATTATCCAATGTCACATTGCGACCTGAGTTATAGATTGGTTCACAAAGACGCATTACTACATCACTTGGAGAATTGCTTTGTTGAAATGGACCTGGCGGCTGCTTTCCCACATACTCTTCTAGACTGGCTGTGTAATACATTCGTGCTTCCGAAAGAGCGAATATTTTGATTCCATACTTATTCGGTTTTTATGGAATATATTGGCGAAAGCCACATCGACCACGAAAAGCCTCCAATTTCTCGTCGATCGTCACATACTCCGACATACTATAACCGTTTTTGCAGTTCTGGACGAACGAATCAAAATATTCTCTAATTGGGGCCAACTTATCAGTCTCCGTCCTCTGTGATCGAGTGGCTTTATCGTCGAAACGTAAGGCGGCAAGTAAAAAACGGAAGCGGTTTAGGGACATGGCTAGACGGAACATTTCTACACCTGATCCATTCGTGGCCCAAAGATCTTTGGTATTCAAGCGATTGCCCTTCAAAACACCTGCATAGTATAACAGTCCAAATAGGGCCTGGTTTTCTGCTTTGTTAGTCTCCCTTGCATCTTTATCTCTTGAATATTTTTTTTTATTGAAATAATAAATCTATCAGTATTCATCACAATTGTGTCCAACATTTCATCGTTGATAAAATACTGCCATAATTCTAAAGGCTTCTTCAATGTTCTTGTGGGTAATCTTGAAATTGGAAGTCTGGTTACCATATTTTCAGCTCTCGTCCTCACATTTTTTGACGGTACCATTTTTTCCCATGTTATACCATCTTTAGCTACAAATACGTTTGAAAATCCGTCCTCTTCATTTACTTCTTCCTGGTCACAAATTTCTTGTTCGGTTTCTGAATCACTATCCCTTGTTTCGAAAATATCATCATCAGATTCAGAGGGCATATCGTCGGGCCCTTCATCAAATTCTATATCAGATTCTGCTAGAGGCTCCTGCATGAGATTCATGAGACGTTCCTGCTTACACACAGAAAAATTATATGGGAAGTAATTAAATTGTCAGAATGCACAGAAATTAATGTCATAACAGCATGAAAAATACCCACCTTTCAGAATAAAAACTCAAACACCGTTACCCGCTTCGGTCTCACGAACCGATTTCCTTGCTAAATGCTGCACTTCCGCACTGATCTGATAATAACTTCGCATTGATGTCGGGCGCCTAAAACTAGGAAGGTACTCGGGTGGGGAGGAAAATACGACTCTTGACGGCTTGAAACAATTCGCGGCAACACTGTGTCGGTCTCAGAGACCGGGTTCGGGTACCGAAATGTTAATTAGTGAGATGATAGTAAATCCTGAACAGTCTACTTATTCCGTCGCGAATGTTCGTGAGGTGTCTTCTTCTGTGTGAAGACTTTTGAAGAGGAATAAGTATCATCCATACAAAATTGAAATGATACACCAATTAACTGGAGATAACCCTGATCGAAAAACATAATTCTGTGAAATCATAACGGAAACCAATGCAAGGCATCCTTCCTATCTCCACAATATTTGTTTCAGTGACGAATGTTCATTTTTTTTAAACGGCAATGTTCGCAGATAAAATTGTCGTTATTGGAGTGATGCCAACCCAATACCCAATATCCAGAAAAAATTAACGTTCGGACAGGGATATTGGGAAACCATATTGTAGGACCACTTTTTATCGATCAAAATTTAACAGGGGAACTGTATTTGAATATGCTGGAAACTACTGTTGACCCTCTCATCACTGAAATCGTCGAAGCGAATCCTAATGAATTCGATATGGATATTATATTCCAACAAGATGGAGTACCACCACATTACTCCAGACAAGTGAGAAACTATTTGGATACTACTTTTTCCGGTCGTTGGATTGGCCGTCGAACATCTTCTTTTCCAGTGATCAATTGTTCTGGATGATATAAATTTCTGTAGGCACCCAACCTCACGGAATCTAAAAAAATGTTTCACAGGAGTGTTAATGTGTGAGTTATTAATGTTTATTTGACATTGAATGCCTGTTTGTATATTTTCTTCAATACTAATAAAAGGTAAAACCGGAACCTCTGGGTAGAATGATTCCAAAATAAGCATGTTTCCCGATCACAAGAAAGAGATTGAGATTAGTATTTCATTTATGGTGATTGGGAAAAGTGGTTGTTTTGGATTTCTTTTATACTGTTGATTCAAATGAGAATATTCTATTCAATTCACATAGTTATTCACAGCACGTCTATCTATACTGTGAAGTAAGCCTTTGTTCTCATTTCTGTTTTCTGATAGTTTTTAAATCTGATAAATTCACGAAATTTTCAGAAGTGAATGATTGTGTCATATCCTAACAAGTTGGTGAATATTAGACTTTTTTTTTATGAATTGATAACGATTCATTATTAACTGACTTGATTTCTCGTGCTTATCATCAAACTTTTTGTATATCAGTTTCTCGTTGCAAGAAACGTCCACTGCCGTAGATTTAATATATGAAAAATACAAATAAATTGCCAACAAATATGGTTTGCGTATGTTGTGACAAATCATGCAAATCGAACCTAAAGGTGAAAGCTATCATGCATGCATCAGTAAACCTTTCAGTAGAGTAAATTAAGATCTTGTGCGAGCATGATAAAGATTATACATGGTCTTGTTCAAGCTGCAGGAGTATTGTTAGTCAGATAAAAAATTTGAGTAGTCTTCTATTATCATCACAAGATATTTGAGCTCTGAAAGCTGAAAGTAGTACTTTGAGAACCACTACTGAATCTTCACCTATTTCAGAATTTGAAGATATTGTTGAGGAATTGAGTGATCGTACCTCAGGAATGAAGAACAGTCACGTGTATGCGGTTTTAACAAATCTCACCAATCAAAGAGTAGACTGTCCTGAAATTCTGGAACAAATCAACTTTAACGTACCACGGCCAATTTCACGATATCAGTCCATTTTCAGACCTCTCAGAGCAAGAACTGATATAAGGCTGAATTATCCAATATACAGGGTGTTTATTAAACATGCGGCAAACATTTACGGGACTATTCTGAGGATATTTTGTCCTTTGATGATTTTCGATAGAGCACTTTGTTTCGAAGATACAGAACGAAAAAAAAATTGGACGATAACAATTTATTACCAAAAATTACATGTAATGTTTCCTAATCTACAAGAATTGTTGACTACCCCCGCTCGGATGCAAGAATTCAATCTTCTTCTCATCAACTCCCGAATTCTTTCAAAAACACCAGAATCGTTTCTGATTGCGTTACAGCCAGCAATTATCCGATTTATCAAATCTTCCACATCTTCCACTGGAGTAATATAAACTAATGACTTCAGGTGGTCCCATAGGAAATAATCCAGGGGGTTTAAGTCCGGTGATCCAGCAGGCCATAATTGAGGTCCACCTCGACCAATCCAGCTATCTTCGTATATTACTGTTGAAACCCTGGTGCACCATCATGTATATACCACATTGCATTTTTTGTAACCAATGGTACATCCTCCAGAAACTTAGGTAGCGTTTGTTCCAAAAAGTTGCGGTACGCCTCGCTGGTGAGTCTTCCTGGCAGAAATACCGGTCCTTTTAACGTTTGGGTGGGAATTGTAGGCGACTTCCTAATTTGGATTTTTTTCAGCCCCAACATGGTTATTGTGGAAATTCCTTGTGGCATTTCTTGAGAAACTGGCTTCATTGGTAAATAGAATGAGCGTCAGTAGTTGGGGGATTTGAATCGATGTGCGCAAAAGCCATTGACAGAATGCAATACGTGGAAGAAAATATGCAGGAAAAAGTGCCTGAACTCGTTGTATGTGGTATGGGTACAACAAATAGTCTCTAAGAATGTTCCAAATCGTCCCGTTACTCACATTCAAAGTATTTGCAGTTTTCCGAGTAAAGGTACGTGGATCTTCTTCTATCATGGCCAGTACATTCTCTTCTACTTCTACCGTTTTTATCATGGGCGTAGAAAAATAAATGGACTCAGTTATTTACCTCATTAAATGAAGCCGGTGAATGGGAGCATTCTAAGATCACGATGTGGATATGAACATTGCCATATTGAATCCGTGATAATTCTTTAATATCACCAATGCTGTGCGGAACTTCAAAACTAACAAATTACATTCAACAACATGAAGTTATGACCTCTATCATGAGGTTAAAACAGACATCAAACATTTCAGAACCTAAACTAGTGCCACATTCACTTCGAAAATATTTGTCATTACCATATAAATCGGATCAGTTCGTTACAAGTGAACTCGTGGCAACACTGTCGAATTTGTCGTTTGGAAGCCTACTACCTGCCTTGCAGTGATGCCAATTTGCCAGTAATTACTGCATTTGCAAGTAATCCGATTATTCAGAAACTAAAATGCAGTAATAAAGATATGCAAGGAANACGGAGTTCAGAATCAAACCACAGGCCTAAGTTTTTTGCTTCAGTTACAAAAGGCTGAACGTCACCATTTATATGAATATGACGACTATTTTTAACAATATCTCACAATCTTTCTAGTCAAAAGATCATTATTGCCGACTTTTTGAAGATTACCTTCAATTTTTGAGCTGATGAAATATCAAAAATTGTCTGTAGATCACGATTGATGATATTTTGAGCAGAATCAATGTCGTGTAACTGCAATTAGAATTCAGAATCAAATCACAGGCCTAAATTTTTATTTCACTTTTAGAAGGCAGAACATCACCATTGATATGGATTTGAAGACTATTTATAGCAATATCTCGCAATTCTTTCGGTCCAAAAATCATTGCTAACGATTTTTTGAAGTTCAACTCCAATTTATGAGCTGATGAAATATCAAAAATGGTCTGTAGATCACTATTGATGATATTTTGAGCAGAATCAATCTCAGAAAACTGAAAAGAGAAATAACGTAGAGTATCATCTGCGTAATGATGAATATTTTCTACCGACTGGTGGAAGTCACGAATATACAAACTGAAAAGTGAAAGACCAATGATGGATCCTTAAGGAACACCATTACAGGTAGAGCCTCTGGGCTAATACCGTCCACTACAACTCTTCGAGTTCGGTTTGATAGGTAATTTCTAACACATTAAAATATACAAGTTATATTTATCAAGTACATTTTTCATGAAATAAATGTGCAAAATTCGAAGTGATACCAAATGAAAGTACTCTTACTTTCCATTAAATCGGCACTCGACAAGAATGCTTCTATCATGAGAAAAACAGTTTTGATTCAATTGATTTTTTAGTGCCATCACATGAGAATTAAATAATTTCGGCATTGAAAAATCTCATGACTTACAAGGTAGCCACTTCAGAAATTATGAATTTTACTTTATATATCTTTCCACCAAATTCAAATGACAAATTACATTTTTTGAAAAATTAGACCTATCAGTAAATAAATTCAATGTTCCATTCAAAATAAGAAAATGGATTCCGATACCGGTAACAATACGAATTGTATTCGATTCAAGCACTTTCGAATATTGATATACTGATAGTTACTTCCGAGCTCTAATCCTATATGAATTCGTTGAATCCACTAATGTTCATCTTACCTGATCCAGTTCCTCCCCCAAATGAATGAAACAACAAAAAGCCTTGCAGTCCTTCACATTGATCAGATAGTTTTCTTATTCTGTCCATCACCTTATCGATGGCTTCTTTCCCAACAGTGTAATGCCCCCTTGCATAATTATTAGCAGCATCTTCTTTTCCAGTGATCAATTGTTCTGGATGATATAAATTTCTGTAGGCACCCAACCTCACGGAATCTAAAAAAATGTTTCACAGGAGTGTTAATGTGTGAGTTATTAATGTTTATTTGACATTGAATGCCTGTTTGTATATTTTCTTCAATACTAATAAAAGGTAAAACCGGAACCTCTGGGTAGAATGATTCCAAAATAAGCATGTTTCCCGATCACAAGAAAGAGATTGAGATTAGTATTTCATTTATGGTGATTGGGAAAAGTGGTTGTTTTGGATTTCTTTTATACTGTTGATTCAAATGAGAATATTCTATTCAATTCACATAGTTATTCACAGCACGTCTATCTATACTGTGAAGTAAGCCTTTGTTCTCATTTCTGTTTTCTGATAGTTTTTAAATCTGATAAATTCACGAAATTTTCAGAAGTGAATGATTGTGTCATATCCTAACAAGTTGGTGAATATTAGACTTTTTTTTTATGAATTGATAACGATTCATTATTAACTGACTTGATTTCTCGTGCTTATCATCAAACTTTTTGTATATCAGTTTCTCGTTGCAAGAAACGTCCACTGCCGTAGATTTAATATATGAAAAATACAAATAAATTGCCAACAAATATGGTTTGCGTATGTTGTGACAAATCATGCAAATCGAACCTAAAGGTGAAAGCTATCATGCATGCATCAGTAAACCTTTCAGTAGAGTAAATTAAGATCTTGTGCGAGCATGATAAAGATTATACATGGTCTTGTTCAAGCTGCAGGAGTATTGTTAGTCAGATAAAAAATTTGAGTAGTCTTCTATTATCATCACAAGATATTTGAGCTCTGAAAGCTGAAAGTAGTACTTTGAGAACCACTACTGAATCTTCACCTATTTCAGAATTTGAAGATATTGTTGAGGAATTGAGTGATCGTACCTCAGGAATGAAGAATATCGTATTATTTGGTTTGTTATGCACTGTTTGGAATCTTTGGTGTAGAAATGAATATTACTATTTCATAAGT